ATACTGAATTTGTTATAATTTAGCTTTTTGGTGGGATTAGCATTTATTAATTCCACATCTTGAATCTTTAAGATGGTTTCAGAATATGTGCCATCACTTATTTCATTCCGGTTACAGATCATAGTCTTGAGTCCTATCTATTGGAACACATAGTCGAGGAGGTTCGCTAACTGTTATCGCTCTTTCCAGTACTGATGGGGGTTTCTTTCCTAAACTTTTATTTGAACTAGTGTGGAAGGTTTACATTTTGATTATGGCGTTATTTTTCTCTCTGAATTGCATCTGATATCCATTTTAATTGCTGCTGCAGTTGAAAGTACTCAGGTAATGTGGTTTTTGTTATTTGGGAAATTACATTGTAATTCAGCAGCGCCAATTCACAATGTTAATAGAATGAAGAGCATTGTCAAGACTCATAAGCTTCACTCGCACAAAGTATTTTTTCGACATTAATCGTAAGAAGCGGCTATATAGAACGAGTTTGGCATAAAGCATGTCATCCCTATGAAAGTCTCGATCTGACGAGGTTATTTAAGAAAAATGACTCGGGTTTTCAGGTTGAAGTTTTGATTTGGTAGCAATTTGCGAAATTGGCATAGCCTATTCTATTTTTATTTATCGGTTCTCCTCTACTTAATGTGGTTTAACTGATACATATGCCGATATATTTGTATACAAATCGTTTAGTATTTACTAATTCTACATATTTTGCTTTTATGATTCAGAGTAGGTGCCATCACTCTTTTCATTTCAATTCCAGATTATAGATTCTATTTTGGAAAGATTTATCTTGAGTCCTATTTCTTTGAACCCGTAGTGGAGGATGTTATAGATTACGCGACCTTAAGAAATTATTTTACAGTTACATTCAAAACATTATATCAATAATCAAGTGCTTTTTGGGTTGCATTGTTTATGTTTTATCATTATGAAATCGACAAATTTTATCTATGGAAAAAATCTAAATTTGAATAATAATAAATTTGCTTTTGAAATCTTTGAAATAAATTTATTTTATCTAACTTATATAAAAACAACATTTTATTTCAAGAAAGATACTCATTTTGTATACCGACTGATACAGAATTCCTCCTGAGGTATCTTCTAATATGGATACATGCCAACATTATGCAATTCCGATTATCTTTTCCTCGGACACTACAGCAAGTGTTCGCCTTATCTCACTCTTCTTCGAAGCTATTTGCTGGATTCTGTCTCATAAGATCAGGTCATTTTTGAGCTGCCTAAGCGCTTGAAAATTCTCTGCAACTGTAACTATACGTTGATCTTTTTTTTTTAGAGTTTAATAGAAGTAGATAGTGTTAGCCATCGTCCGATTTACACTCGTCCCCAGTTTTTTGAACAGGAGTAGATTCTTGCTTCCTGTTTAGGATTGTGTTTCCGGTTCCTTTTAAAGTCTTCTGATTCTCTTTCTGTCTCAGGAGCCCCTCGCGTCTTGGTGGCATTATCTGCTCACCTGGAATGAATCGAATAAAAATGTCAGGTAAATCTAATGAAAGTCGGTATCATCGCATGAATAATTGTAGATGTACCTACCTTGACATTCACTATCGATCGAAACGATAAGCTGAACATATACAAGGTGTCAATGTGGAAGAGATAATTAATTACGATAAGAGTAACGTTTTGTAAGGTAAATATTTTATTACTATTCCAGTCAAATAGCCAATTCATGATATTCAAAGAAGGATGAACATTGCCAAGACCTATACACTTCACTCATTCAAAGCCTTTTTTACCATTTGATCTTAGGAAGCGGTTATATAGAGCTGATATTTAAGTTCTTTCTGAACGAGTTTGGCACTATGCATGAAAGTCTCGTCCTAACGAGACTATTTAAGAACATGACTTTTTCAGATTAATCTTTTAGCTTCGTAGTATTTCCAGGTTGATATTTTGCTTTGGTAGCAATTTGCGAAAATTGGCGCATCCTATTCTATGATCAGTTCCTTTTTCTCCTCTACTTAATTTGTTTTAACTGATCCATACGTTGGCGTATCTATATAGTAAGCGTTTAGTATTTATTAATTCCACATCCTGAATGTTTATGATGGATTCAGGATAGGTGCCAACAACTCCTTTCATTCCAATGCCAGATCGTAATTCCTGTTTTGGAATGGTTTAACTTGAGTCCTATTTCTTGGAACACTTGGTACAGGGTGTCGACTTTCTGTTCAGGATCATTTGTATCTCAACTATGAATACCTATGTAATTACCATGGCCCTCATCATCACCAGTACATTGGCCTCGGGACGCAAAAACAAGGTCGTTGTCTTTTACTGGTTGACTGGTTTAGAATGAAAAAAAACAACAACAAACAAACTAGGAATCAGTTTAAACTGACACCAACAGGATCTGGATTAGCATGAAGTTTTCCTTTTCATATATTAAAATCATTTTACTTTGCATTTTATATTTTTTTTTATTTATATTATAATCATTTTGCTTTCTACTTTCTTGATTTAAGATAAAATCCAAAAAATTGCCAATCTAGTTCAGTGTTATTTTTAATTTACAAAAGATTATAAATATTATTTATATATACGCATGGATAGCGTTAACTGAAATTGTCACCAGGAGACTAGAAGTTAAAATCACATCATCTTTTTCCAAGTATTGCAAATATTGTTTGCAAAAATGAACATATTTTCTTGATTTCTTTGGTATTTTACCGAATATTTCAGTGAATCATTTACTTTCCAAAACTATATCATTGTTTAAATATATGGAGGAAAATGGTGTCAATTACGTCTTCTTTTATCCATATAGATTCTCTGTGACATTTCTATAAATACTTCCATTGAAATTGTTCTGAGGAAATTTCCTCTGTGGTATCTAGAATTATGGATTTAAGCGCATTACTAGATTGGTGTCAATGTCTCATCATTTTACATTTGAAATATGATAGATGTATGTGTAAGCTCTGTGCTGTCAATTTATTCTATCGCACTTCTCCCCTGTGAAAATATCTTCCGGCTTCATGCTTCCCTGTCAATTTTGATCTTCAAAATTTAAATGCAATGCTAATCGTTAACTTCTACCTTCTTAATTCCCATTCTTTTATTGTGTTACTGTTTTCTTGATTTCAGAGAAAAACTTTGAAATTTTCCAACATATTTCAGACAGATTTTCATTTTAAAAATTACAGCTTATAAGTATTGTTTATATTATTTACATTGTTGAATCCGTTATCCTCATCTTCATTGCCGCACTCACAACGTCTCATATAAAAGATATAGACAGATATTGCTTTTATATATATATATATATATATATATATATATATACTGATAAATAGAATGATATCTGTTCAATTGTGGTGAATGGAAGTTAGATTGGAAACAGAGACTGGTGTTATTTGAAAAGGAAATGGATATTTTTGGAGAGACAATATTGCTAAGTGGAATCGCCATGTTGCTTCTTTCACTATCATAGTTTATATGTATTAATTTACTTTTTTCTTTATTATACTTTTAGTTATATGTTTTTGCTTATCGCACTGTCTTCCAACTTTCTTCTGCCTTTCTTTTCTTTCTACAATTTTCAAGTATCTTGAAACGTTTTAGCTTCATTTCGCCTATTTTTCTTCTAAGCCAATGTTCTTTTCTAGCAGCGCAAATGAATTCACTCGTTTGAAACGCCATTCTAAATTTCATACCCAACTATGCAGCAAAATCAAACACTGTTATTCCTTTCTGTAGCGTATCCACACCCGACTAGAAACCCGTCACGATTTTCTTATCTCCAATCATCCACGAACAAATAACGCCTCTGTTCAAAACACACCACAACAAAATCACTAACTCCCACATTATCAATTGCAAAATTATCATTTTAATCATCTCATACTTTCTTTCTCTATTTTTATTTATTCATCTGCAAAGTCCTTCCTCGTCACTATGTTTTAGAGAGACTTCCACTTCATCAATCATAGCAGACAACTTCTCCACCTTCGTTGTTCTTCGAACCTTTTACAGCTTTCGGGTCTATCGTCGCAAGCAAAGAAACCATCATGTCACAATAGTCTGTCATTACAGCCAGCACATGTTATTTGGGCCAAAAGAACAGGCATAATTTTGGCTCCAGTTCCAACCCTTCTCAACACCTTATCTTCGTCTCCACCTTCGTCAACAAACCGCTGCACCCCATAACGCCCGCCTTCGTTCAGTTGCTCTCATTTTCTCGCCATTTCCTGTCTCTAAGTTTTAGCAATTCATTTTCCGCCATTGATTTTGTTTCCTCCTTTATTTGCTGCTGTTTTATCTTCTTCCTTTTATTAATTTTTGAGTAACTTATTTGGCCTTCTGGGTTTGTGTTTATTTCTGTAGTGAACATTTTGTGGTTTGTTAGTTGCTGATGGAAGTGAAATGAACAGATAAACAGGAGCCTTGAAAAAGAGGAATCACAATAAAAACAGGGACTTGAGAATTCCAATTTTATTCACTTCATACACTGCATGCCATTTCTTCATTTCATATATCATTATCTACCAGATTTCATAGATTAGTTTGAATGCTTTGGATATTTTAAAACTTCATTTTTTTTATTTAGCATTCGTTATGTTTGCTTTTAATCATTTTCTTTCTGCGTACATTTTTCTGAATTTTATTTTTTTAAAGATTTAGTTATATAAATGTTGCACAGATTTTAATATAATATTTAGTAGTTTTATTTCTATTTACCCAAAATGTGTGTCGTTTTTAAATTATAACTAGTGTTTTTCATTTGCAGCTAGTTTTTAGTTTATTCAATTTTTCTAGTGTTTTTCATTAATTCCAAAGAATCTATGAATTTCTTTTTTCTTATTTTATTTTTTTCTTTCATTTCTGTCCTGAATATTCCGTATTTATTGCTTGTTTTCAGATATATTTTCGACTGTTATAATTTTCTTAATTTGTTTGTTTGTTTATTTCTTTCCTCTTTTCTAATATTCCATAAAAACTTTCTTTCTTGCCTTTTTTATTTCCTCATAATCGATATGTTTTTTCTTCTTTCTTTGTTTCATTTTCTTTCGCTCTTTCTTTTTTCATTCTTTCTCTCTTTCTTTCTAAAATCACATTTATATTTTCTATCAATTTTCTTTCTTTTTTTTAATATTTTATTCATAGTTTTCTTGCCTATTTTTACTTTCTCGTATTTAACATTCTTCTTTCTTTTTCTTGCTTTTTTCTTTCTAACATTCCATATATATTTCCTATCTATCTTTCTTTCTTTCTTTCTTTCTTCTGATTTTCTCCTGATCTCTCTCGTTCTTTCTTTCTTTTTTTCTAATTTTAATTTGTACTTTTTCTTGCCTTTTCTTACATTCTCATATCTTGTATCGTCTTTCTTTTTTCTTGATCTTACTTTCTTTTTAACATTCCGTTTATAATTTCTCCCTTTCACTCTTTTGGTGTTTCTAACATTCCCTCTATGCTTTCTTTCCTTCTTTCTTTCTTTCTTTCTTTCTTTCTTTTCTAACATTCCTTTATATTTTCTTATGTTTTATTTTTTCTTTCTCAAAAAGAAAATGTTTTATTCTCTATTTCTTTCTTCACGCCCATTTTAATCGTGCGCGATTTCTTTTTTCTTTCTTTCTTCTCATTTATATTTTTCTTACTTGCTTTTAACTTTCATATTTCATTCTTTTTATCTTTTTTTCCCCTTCTTTTCCATTTTCACGTATCTTTTGTTTTTAATTTCTTATTTTATTTTCTTAAACAAAAGTGATTTGTGTGTGCACATTTTTGTATATTTGTGTGTGGCCATATCTGTGCCTGTGTGGATGTGTCAGTGTGGATGTCTCAGCGTGGCTATGCACGGAAGTTTATTTGTGCAATCAGCCTTACCCAAACAAAAAATGCCACAGTGAAAAGTTGTTCTGGCGAAAATTGATAGTGCACTTCAAAATCAATTCATCACATTATCATGAAGCCCATTTATTGTTATTTGTATGGGAATGGCTACATTATAATTATCTCCCTTGGTCAACCATTCCCTATAACTCCACCATCCGGCGCTTCCTGTTCTTGATATATATATATATATATATATATATATATATATATATATATTTATATACACACACACACACACACACACACACACACACACACACACATATATATATATATATATATATATATATATATATATATATATAATCATTTCCTCTTCCAGTCAAGTCGATAATGCCACTAAGACGCCAGTTGTTGCTGGAAGTGTCAAAGAAGGATAATACATTAGTAAGGAGACAATGTTTGAGGGAGACAGGCGATTGGCGTTGGATTTTAAATTTTGGTGGTCGTAGGTTGCAGAGAATTATGAAGCTGCAAGAGAGTTCCACAGGCAAGAATTGCGAGAAAATAAACTATTAGATTAGAAGTTACGGTTATATCTCGCTGGTTCAAGCGTAAAACAGGAGAGAACTAGCTTCCATTCTAGTAGTAAGATTAAATTCATGCAGTTAATATACCATGAAAATATTTATAAAAAGACAAAGAGGGACACCATATCACACCGGTAGGAAAAGTGACTAATGTCGACATTCCAGTTCAGGATCGGTTACATTACACAACCTTTCGATTTTTCTTTTCAAGAATCTCGACATACAGTAGCGTCCAAAACTAAGGGACAAAATTTTACAACCTAATATTTGTGAGAAATAACAACTGTGAAAAGCTGAAATTTTGACAACTGGTAGTCGTTATCATCCATAATAACATACTAAAATTTGAATCATTTGCAAAGGATAGGAAAAGAATTATAACAATTATTTATTTATTTTCAAATTTGGAACCTCCAAAAGTAAGGGACAAAATTGAGAAAAACAATGTAAACGGCAAAAAAACAATAAAAATACATGTACAATCAATATTTAGTAAATGGGCCCTTGCTCTCAATGACAGCTGCACATCTTCGACTACAAGAACGAATCAGTTCTTGACAATCCTCGATACTAATTTTAGACCATTCTTCTTGAAGCTTCACCCACAAATCCTCCGTGTTAGTGAGATTTCTTTCCATAACTTTCACTCCTAAGCTCTTCCAAAGATTTTCTATTGGATTTAAGTCAGGACTTTGCGGTGGCCAATCCATAATTTCCAAATCTTGCTCGCTAAGGTAACTCATTACCACCTTTGACATGGGGCATTATCTTGCATAAAGCTAGCCCTATCGAAACCTGAATTCTGTATGATTGGCACAACATGATCTTGAACAATGTTTTTATAGATCTGCGCGTTTACACGAGTTTGTAACCGGACAAGAGGCGTTGTACCTTGGCTAGAAAACATTCCCAATACCATGACGCTTCCGCCCTCAAACTTGACAGTTTTCTTAGTACACTTTGCACTTAATCTTTCACCAATACGTCTCTTTACATTGTTTTTTCCATCATTTCCAAATAAATTAAACTTGCTTTCATCACTGAAAAATACTTTTGCCCAATTTTCATATGTCCAAATTACATACCTGTTTGCAAACTCTAATCTCTTCTTCTTATTCTTCGAACTAACAAGTGGTTTCTTCCCTGGGGTTCAATTAAACAGCCCTATTTTTTGCAGTCGTCTACAAACAGTCTGTCTTGACACATTAACACATGAGGTACTATTCATAACCCTTTTAATTTCTGTGCAAGACTTAAAACGGCCCTTTAATGACATACGCAGCATTATTCGATCTTCTCTTGCCGAAGTTTTGCGGGGTCTGCCGGTTTTAAAAGCACTAACTATTTTGCCAGTATCATTGTAGGATTTAACAACCCTGCCTACAACACTCTTGGAACGTTTCACTTTCTCTGAAATCTCACTAATGGTGTGCTTTTACTTGTGTAGCTTCACAATAGCTTGTCTCACAGAGTAATCAAGTTTTTGGCGTTTCGCCATGGTGCCGGCTGATGCAACGTTTACAAATGACTAAGTAAGATTTATTCTTTAGAGGAAATCAAAAAATTTGAATATAGCATACGGTTTACATTGTTTTTCTCAATTTTGTCCCTTACTTTTGGACGATCCTATTTTGAAAATAAATAAATAATTGTTATAATTCTTTTTCTATCCTTTGCAAATGATTCAAATTTTAGTATGTTATTATGGATGATAACGACTAACATTTCTAACAAATATTAGGTTTTAAAATTTTGTCCCTTAGTTTTGGACGCTACTGTATATAGCAGGAACATTAGACCAGATATGGCAGCAATATTCAATGCAAGAAAGTATTGCAAGAAAGTATTGCAGACTAACTGTCCAAGTAATAATCATTACGGCTCTATTGCAGACATTCCCAGCAGGCCAATACTTTCCAAACTTAATATAATAAGACACACGACGTCAAGTCTGAGGCGCTCAGATCATCGCAAACTCACGACAGTTGTCATGTTTTGCAAAACTTGCTTGTATTTCCCTGTCTCACAGCAAGATATCTTTCAGCGTTTTTGAAATCAAAAAATGACGGAAATACACGTGAGATAATGTGTTCTTGCAAGTAATAATGTAATATCTTTTTATTTATTTGGCTTCAACTTAATATATGCAGTCTTTAGAAATGATTTTGCTAAAGGGTTCATATTTCGTTTGTCAAGAATTAATGTTTTCGAATGTCCACCTTAGTCTAAATAGTCCTTTCCGTTAGAATTACACATTTTTGTAACGTCATTGTTTATCCAAGAGCCCCTCAAGAATCACTTAGAGGCTAAATGAATGAGGTGGTTTTCGGGATGTAATAGGAGGAAGTAATAAGTGCATTTTTCTGCGGATGTGTAGGATAAATAACTGATGACCCTGGACTTGCAAATATTAACTCTGTACTGATCGGAGAAGCATCGTCACGGGAGTATGTTACACAAAGTAACGTGTTTTGAGAAGTGCAGTCGAAGGAACTTTCTTCAAATGGAATACTGATGGCTCTCCGCTGTGAACATGTCAGTAAAGGTCTGAATTGGTTGAACTAAGGAAGGTAACCTTCCCAAAGAAATAGTGAGAGAATAGTGATAGAATAGTGAGAAAATTATATTCTATTGTCAAGAAATATCTTTCTGGAAAGAAGGAGCGCATCAGCTTTTCAACAAATCATGGCTGCTGTTCGACCCATAAACAAGGAAAAAACCCTGACAATTTCACGGTTTTCTTATTTCAATTTTCATATGCATCTTAATACTCCAGTTAATGATTTAATAAGTTCACAGGGAGTTCTAAGACATAAAAAAATATCCATCTCATCGTTAAATATTTAAATATTACAGTGACATTAATAAATATAAATGCTGCTGGTTATTTTAAGACGTAAGGAAGTTCAAATGAAAACATTTGAAATTGACAACTTTTTCCATTTCACTGAAACAGGTTTTAAGCACTTCTTTCTTTCTTTCTTTCTTTCTTTCTAAATGGCGTCTCTCGTATGTCATTTCAGTCTTATCACTCAATCAAAACGGAATAATCCATCATTTATGACGCATTGGCAGAAATCGTTAAAGATTTCTAACTTCCGTTCTGTTTTCTTTTCTTTCTTTCTACCCTTACTCATTTATTTATTTTCTCATTGAAACCAAGTAGCGCCCATGTTTCTCAGCGCGATAAAAAGACAATTGTCCAATATTTATAAGGTACTTTAAAATATTTTAAGTATTCTATCTTATATTCTTTCTGTCTTTCTTTTTTTCACTGAGATCAAGTAGCATTTCTGCTATGTCTTTTCTGTATTTCCTAGTGAACCAAATGGAATAGTCCTTTATTTAATATGTATTAGCAGGGCGTAAGAGACGAGCTAAATTATAATAAAAATTATAAGCAAATTTTGTAACAATATGTCTTCAACCTCTAAAAAGAGTTGGGAACCTGTAGACAAAGAGTCTTTGATAACTGATGCAATATGAATCTTTTCTCGCCTAAATCTAAATATTGCAATGACAATCAGAAATATGAATGCTGGTTTTTATTTTAAGAAATGAGTACAAATGAAATGAACAAACTGTAAACACTTCTTTCTTTCTTTCTTTCTTTCTTTCTTTCTCATATTAATTTTCTCAATGAATCAGCGTCTCTCATATTCATTTCTGTCTTTCCTTGCGATCAAAACGGCATATTCCATTATTTATGAAGCTTTGCTGGGAAACCTTAAATACTTCTATCTTTCTTGCTTCCTTCCTTCCTTCCTTCTTTCTTTCTTTCTTTCTTTCTTTCTTTATTTATTTATTTTTCTCACTGAAAAATAAACACTTTTCCGTGTTTGAGCAATTAATTCCTTCGGATAATCCATTGGTTGAGAACAGATATTTGTTTTGCACCAACGCAGGTTGTGACTGAGCCGCATGAAAAAATACGGGGTGTAGCAAAGGTTCCTTTTGCCAGGATTCTTCTACTGTATCCCATCTTTTATCTTCAAAATATCACTTGCTTGTTTAATGCAACTGTCCTTCATTGTTCGCCAGATTAAAAAAAAAATAAAGATATATAAATATTTCTTTAAGAAATCAGCAAATGCAAAAAAGCAAAATCTTAGTTTATGGTGTAAACTTATCTTAACTAAAAAAAAAGAAAAAAGTTATATCTCTCGGGCGAGATCCTGGTATTTTTACCGTGTTTATTCAATTCCACGTTAACATTGTGTACAATGTGTGTGTTAAATAACAAGTGTTTTCTAGTAGAATGAATTCAAACAACATGGTAAAGGCACTGGGAAACCATATCATTCTTCTTAAGTAGTTATGACAATTCACAGATAATAAAGAAACGATATGTAAAATGTCACTATTAATGGCAAGGAGATACTGTCACTAAAAATTATTTACTTCAAAATGTCATAGAACTTATGAATGTTAACACTTCAAAGGCACTTTCGAATGCCAATGGAAATGGCAAAAAAAATGAAATAAAAATAGAATACGGTTATTGATTCTCACTATTCAACATAATGACAGGTGAGAAACTCCCCTCCGTGAAAGCAACTAAAACAACATAACTTTGTTTAGTTGCGGCTAAAGCGAGCGTCTACAGTTTCAAATTGAAAAAAAAAGTCTTTCAACAGAAGAAAAGCAAGAAAAAACAGAAACTGACAACAAATGGCGATCGATTTAGGTTTGCAGTTAAATAGAAATGTTTATATCAGTAAAAAATATTTTTCATTTTTTCATTCATGCCTGCAGTGTTTTGAATAGTAAAGCTGGAAATGGTAACAAGCAGTTAAATAATGAAGATTGCACGCCAAACATTCACAGCACTCAATACATACTGCTATCGATAGAGAAAAAAGATAACAAGATGTATATTATTATTATTATTATCATTATTATTATTATTATTATTTATGTATGTATGTTATGTTTCTTGATTTGCATCCTGTAAAGCCGACTCCAAACTATGGTCCTTAGGTCCTATATTATTATTATTATTATTATTATTATTATTATTATTATTTCTTTCGATTTATTATGCTTACACATTTCCTTTAGGACCCCAGCCAGAAACCTAAGGTGAGAAATAGCTGCATGACATTTACCACAGATCATTTTTATAAAAAAAAATCACACATTTGACATAAATAAAGCTATTCATATGTGAGCTGTACTTCTGGGTACATTTTATTTTATTTCTTTAAAGCATGGGATACCAGGAATCCCTCCAATGTGTCTATTGCAGGGTTTTCCAATAAATCCCTGGGCTCTAACTACAATGGAAAATATTGATGCTCTCATGTGCTACATTTTTTTAGATTTCGACTTCAAGATCCTTATACTTTGATAGTTTACATTACAATCTGAGTGTCATGTTAATAAGAAAGCACAATCTGTTTCTGTGGTCTTTTATTACGATGTCTTGGCGATTAGCTTTGATTGTTCTGTCTCTGTGTATTATAAAATCCCATAAAATGATTACAAGTCCTATATCTGTAACCGGGTCTGGGTGATGTTCATACAAGTTTCTTGCAGTTTTCATCCGTTAAAAACATATTTTCCAGTGCAGATGTTGACCCACACTATCATGCCAAGTTTTATATTCAGTGGACGCTAATCCCGTGCAACTTGATACAAGACGTTTCTGGATATTTAACACAGAATCTGAATTTCGGTTTGTGGTTTTGTAAGACAGTTCTAGTTGAACTAATCCTCTGCATCCTCCGGATCTGGACATAGACAGACAGTCAACATCAACTTTAGGATGATGCATGCAGTGGAACAGGGAGAAGCTTTCTCGTTTTGACAGCCATTCGTTTAATGTCAGCTATGGTTCAATTAATTTCTATTGCATCACAATTGTTATGGCTGATATTATGTTTTCTGAATTCAGCACTAGATTTAACGTCAGTGGCACACGCCTGTAGTATTCTTTTCTTACTTACTCCTTCCTTTTTGGTATGCTGTATTCCATCTCCTTCGCTGATATCTAGCTATTTCTTGGTTTCTTCTTGTTCCAGTTGCCTAATCTTTTTGAGAAAAAATATACCTATTCAGTGTGTTTCTGTAATTCGCTGTTATTTGAATGTTACTTTTGCACATTTATCTAATCCAAAATCGATACCGATTTCATCACCGAAACATTTTACGGTATTGAGGAGACCCTTGAACTGATTGTCGGCTTTAGCAAAGAGTTTGATATTATCCATATATACGTACGTGATTAAAGACTTTCTATTTTTTACTTTATATCCATAGTTATTACTCTTTTGTTCACGTGAAAGAGGGATTAAGGCCGGTCAATGTCTCTCCTTGAGAGATTCCTCGTCAGATATTCAAACAGTTGGAAATAGCAGTACCCTTGGTCTGATTTAGGTACATGTTGTTTTACACAATTTCATACTATACTTAAGAAAATTTATTATCACCGAGGAGACTTTGTAGATTTCCAAATCTTTAATGATGTAGGAGTGTGGCACGCAATCAAAATTTTTATAGTAATCTATTCGAACCTATTCTGGGAGTTCTACCTTTTTTCTTGCAATTTTCCCGGATGATTTTCTATATTTGTAGTTGATTTTTGTTACCATATGATCTTCTTCGAAATTCCTTGTTTCCCAGGCGAAGAATGTTTTCATCGAGAAAAGACTAGGTACAATGCATCAGTACATACGTAATCAATTGATATGTCATGGACAAACATGTTATTAGTCTATAATTTTTGGATCCTGTTTCACCCATTTTTGGGAAGAGATATGTAATACCTTCATTGATCCATTCGGGAATTTCATTGTTGTTATTAATTAGTATTGATACTGTTATGGGACTTTACCCATAATAACATAATGAGTCATTTCATACGTAATAAATACTGCGCCTCAAGAGGAAGCAGAGAGTTCCGTCTGAAATCTAGAGTTCCGTCTGATGTCTGGAGTGAAGTCCGTCAGGAGTCTGTCAGTCAGTCAGAGCAAGTCAGTCAATTGAGTCAGAGGCAGTCCGAAACAGAGTCGCGTTCAGACAATTACTACTAAACCTGATTGTTCGTACTAACCCTTTCTACTTCTTTGTATATATTCCTGTTTGTAATATTTCTGTGTTATTCCATATCTGCCTTCGAGTTCTTCTTTATTGGTTCTACCTTGGACTATCACCATAGTACAAGGAACCGGACCATAACTGATACAATATGTGCAAGGGTTTTATTATTTTCATAAGAATTATCGATTGATGAGAGATGATAGAGCCAAAATTTGGGTACCTTGTCATTTTCTGGGGATTTAAGTTTTTGCGATTTTGTTAGAGCTTGCTTAACATTATTCTTGGTTATATTTTTCTATTCTTGCACAGGTATATCCTTCATTCTTTCTTGTTCTCATTTCATCCAATCTTAATTGGAATTATATTCCTTTGGATTGCTCCAAATATTCTTCCAAAATATACAAAAAAAAGTTGGTGGTTTTGACTTTTATAACTGCTTTTACAATTTCCCTGTAAAACTTATTGATTTCTGTTTGGAATACATTATTTTGTCGATATAATCTTAAAAGTTTTTCATATCGTCTTGTTCTTTGTGATTTTAATTGCAATTTATGTGTAAGTATTTCCTTGAAAGATGGAATTTCGTTTATTTCTTTAATTTCATATTTCTGCTTGATCTTTTTGCTTTTCCGTGTTGAAACATTTGAATTTCTGATTTTCTCAATTTTTCACATTTCAAGAAAGAAGATGAAATAATTTACAAATAATATACTGTTACATATAGCTATTTTTCAATAAAAACTAGGAGACCTATCTGCTACTCAAGTATTACGCTTAAATTCGAAGTACTAAGGATGAAAAATTATTAGAAAAATTGTAATCATAAAAAAAGACACAGGGAAGCCATATCACGGTGGTGAGAAAGGGATTGAAGTCGAAATGTCAGGTCAAGACCGATAAAAGTAGAACCTCTTTTTTTATAGAAAAGACAGAGGGAAGACACGTCAAATCAGTGAGAAAATGACTGAAGTCAAGATGCAAGGTCAGGATTAAAACCATACTTTGAAGTTTGTCAAGAATGGCAAGATATAAAACAGGAACAGCAGACCAGATATGCACTGATCAATGATAGATTTATAAATGCGGAAAATGGATTATGGCGCAAAAAAGTCTATCACGAAACAGTGAACAAGCTTTAATAGCAGCATGCATAGTAATTAATTCAATATTTGTGTCAGTGGAAAACGTAAGATCGAGAAGGCGCAATGATTTTATCTCTTGGAGGTAAGCTTGATCGATGCTGATCGAAGGCAAAGATGGCTCTCTGAGATGGCTAAAAGTGTGTCGTTTCGCTTTGGTGGTGTTAAACATTTCAGGCTATTTCTTGCCCTAGTTAACAACCTATTGAATGTAATTTCCAAGATCAGCCGACAACCAGTAGAGAAGCCTCCGATCAGGTGATTGGAGTTTTTGAGGAGCGTGGGACCAACCACCTCTTAATTGATGTTGTTCACAGTTCCGTCCTGACCTGGGTTAGTAGTACTTGTTAGGATACTAGCTATGGACAAACCCCTCAAACTAAACACTAAGAAAGTATGGAAACTGATTTTCATAGAAAAAATACCATAAAGAATTATTATATAATAAAAATTTCCAAAAATACATGTTCATATTAAAACGGCCAACAATATATTTTATCACCATTTGAAGGCATACAATTGCGTTCAAAATATATTTAGTTCAAGCCATAGAATTGCGTTCTAAATATTTAGGTTTCGGCATTAAATAACCCATAGAGGTTGATATGCTGTTAAACAAAATGAATTAATCAACCAACCAAACAACTGTGATCAGCTGTCAGTTTTATGTTATCAAACCTGGAACAGTTCTTACTGATTAAACGATGTCTTTCTCTTAATATTACGTTACTTTTGGTGGGAATTTGATTTGTTGATACAAGGTTCTTTCATTTATTATGTTTGTTGCCTGTCTTGTTTCCATCTTTCTAATTATGACTTGTTTTCATTCTATTCACCATAGAGAAGTTCTATCTCTCGATTCTTTTTTCAGTCATCCTTCTTTTCTTTTTAGCCTCCAATTCATTTCTGTTTTCTATTAGTCCCTCTGTTTCTAAAAAGTCGCCATAAATTCTTGTCTCTTATGTTTTACTCTTTCTTATTTTTGATGATTTTTCATTATTTTCCTCTGATTTGTGCCTTTTTAGACATGTATTTCTGTTCATTTTCGTTCCGTTAGTTTCTTATTTTCGTTTCTGTTTTCTTTTTCCTTTTTGGTGTTTCGGTTCAACATTTTTCTTCTTTTTCCTTTTCTAGGCATTCCTATATTTTCTTTTCTCATTCCTTCGTATTAACAAATCTTTCTGTTGTAGCATACCTGCGGACGATACTGGGCATGTCCCCATTCATATTGTCATGAGTCCTTATCTATAACTACAGAATGAACTCTTCCTAACACTATATATACTACGCCTCTCAAGAGAGAGGGACGAATCAGGCCGAGCTTCTCGATTTGACGGTCGAACTCTCCGCCTCTGAGCAGAGAGGAACCCGGACGAGGCTCCGCCTAAGGGCAGAGTCTCGTTCGGGGAGGTTGACCAACCCGATCCCGTTTATATGGGTTCTACGGGCATTTTTTGGCCGAGCCTACGGGCTCGGAAAACCCACGTTAAACTCGGCCTTGTGCCACATGCAACCCTCGTGGGGTGGGGGCTAGATACCGAATCAAGACGTGCTTCTCGGCTTGACGGTCGAACTCTCTGCCTCTGAGCAGAGAGGAACCCGGAAGAGGCTCCGCCGAAGGGTAGAGTCTCGTTCGGGGAGGTTGACCAACCCGATTGTGTTTTTACAGTTTCTACGGGCATTTTTGGCCTAGCCTACGGGCTCTGAAAAGTCACGTAAAACTTGGCCTTGTGCCACATCTTTCCCTCGTGGGGGGGCAAGTAAATATCGAATCGAGTCGAGCCGATAGTAGTTCACTCCAAACCAGACTGACAGTCATACTAACACCGTCCACATCTTGTAATATTATTTCGTGTAATATACCTTCGTTATTTCTACTCTTGTGTTCGTGTTGTTCTTCCTTGGTCCTAACCTGGCCCATAACACATATAAATACAGAAGTAAATAATGTATGTTGGTCTGCAGTTGGAGATTCGTCTCAAGCTGTGCGAGTCAAACTCATTGCCTCTGGACAGAGAGGATTCCCAGACGAAACTCTGCTGAAAGGCAGAGTCTCGTATCAGGAAACAGCTACTGGGGAATTTTGGACCGAGCCTACGGGCTCTGCTACCCCCACATTAAATTCGGCTTTGTGCCATATCTGACCGCGGCTGGGGTGGGGCGATATATAGATATTCTTCATTTGGAGATTGGTTGTGGAATTCACTTGACTCACTTCAGTTGACTACTACTTCTACGCGCCGCTGTCGAAACTTTTGTGTATTTTACTTGTCCTAAGTATTGTCATTCATTACCATCGTACGTATGATTATTTTATTCAGTAAACTTCCCGAGGTTGCAACACTTTCACTTATTCGTTTTCTTTTTCGAAATATTCTTTATCTTAATTTTGTTCCATATTGATACACTTTTGATGTCTTTAACTTTTTCCGACCTTACTTCTTCGTTTGTATTCCTTTTTTCATAAAGTCACAGTTTTTTTTTATCTTTCTTTTCTTCATTTCTTTTTCCTTTCTAATAAAGTGTGTTTCATTAAGTCGGATTATATATAATGGTATTTCATTAAGACGGATCAAAGTCAGCAGTAAATAAATCAGTATTATTGGTGATAATTTATTTATTTCTCTGTTGGATCATGTGATTTACGTCATGGCAAGTATGTGTGAAAAATAATATCACCGAAATGTCCGCCAAATCTGAAAGAAAAAGAAAAAAAGTCATTAGACGCTTAAACTTAATTCACAATTAAAATCGGTCCAACTTATTGGAACACTCTTTATAACAATGCTTCCTTATTTTCATTCTTCGTTCAGTTTAAAGCTTTATTCTTTCTTTCTTTTTTAACCTTCGATCGCAAGCTACTTTCTTTTCTTTTCTTTTTTTTTTGGTTTCTTTTTTGATTGTCCATTCCTCATTCGTATCTTCCTCCCATTCAGACATTCTTTCGACATTTTACTCTTCTTTTTTTCCTTATTTCTTCTTTCCTTTCTTTTGTTTCCTCTACACCTGGCCTTACATTTGCAAAACCCCCGATGTCTTCCCTGTCTACGTGCAGTGTTGGCATCCATTAACATCCTTCTCATACATTTAAACATGCAAACGTTTTTCTTTGAAGTGCTGGCCTTAACAATCGAGTCATGCACCCTTCAAAGAAACCTGGCCTCAGAAAACCAAGTTCTTCGTTGCTGTTGTTATTGTTGACTTTTTATTAATTTATTTACGTTATATTTTTATTTTTTTCCGTTTTATTTATCTATGTTTTATATATATATATATATATATATATATATATATATATATATATATATATATATATAGAGTTTTTATTTTCGGACAAATTAGCTATTCCAAATGCCACCTCCTGACGGGCGATTTATTTATCAGGAGAACGGACGACCAGAATCGGTTTCTTTTTATGATTATTTTTTTCTTTGACTTTACTTGTCTTTGGAGTTAATTTACATCAATTAACACAGAATAAACAGCGTCCACTGTTAATGCATACGAATGCGTAGCTTAAATCTTTACGCTTGCGTAAAACATAGATATACGTATAAAGCGTTAAATAAACGTCGAGAAGTTATATGGTTAAACTAAAAAAAAAAAAAAACAAGAGACTTATAACAACGATCCGGACAGATGTTGAAAAGTTAAGCTCCATCATATTGTTTTATAACACAATTGTCATAACTAATATATGAATAACATGGATTATTTACAAAAGATATTTAGGGCTAATCCATTACGTCGCAAATTGCATTTGGGGAAGCTAGGGTTCTATCTCGCGTTTCTTCAAATATGAGTTAAATGGCAGGGCAGACTGATCAATCTAATTTTCTTGGGAAGCCATATTAAAAAATATATTTGAGAGAAAAAAAATGTGAAGTGCAAAATTCAGCAGCTAAAGCAATTTGAAAATGTCGCAAATTCTCTTGAAGATATTAATACAAAATGTCATTAAAAACAAGTTAAAATCGTCAAAAAATACTATGGTGACAGAGTATTAATTCTAAAGTACTATTAAATAATAGTAAATATTGTTTTATAATATTTTGCTACGAGTAATATATATTTCTGTATTTAAGCAGCAATTTTTCTTTCATCGAACTTTCAATGATTATGACAGACAGGGTTCTTTGATTTAGTTTTTTATACAATTTCTCATATGAACTTATAAGTCTTTCCCTTTCGGTAGATAAACTATATTAAAACTGTCCAAATGTTCTTTTTTTTCCGAGCGCTTTCAGCTATACATTTATCCATTTTCAAGTTTGAAATATATTAACAATTACCAAGATGTAGATTGTTGTATGTATGTATTTATTTATTTTATATATATTGCTAAGGAGTCCACCCCTTTTGATACAAGTGGACTCGCCCGGTGTGTACTTGTACTGCTGCCGGTGAATACCCGGAAGTGAAAAGTTGAGAGAGTGAGAGTGTGAGGTAACCGCTTTATAGGAGTCACAGGTGAAAGCCCGTAGACTCAGAAGGAAGTCCTACTTCCATACTGAATTTCAAGACTGTATATATATCATTATTGCTACTAACCGCATTTCTGGATCTGCTAACCGTATTACCAATTGTATTATTACGTCAATCCATTTATTTGCTATATTTCATTCCTGCGTTTGTCATTCATTTGAGACCGGATTTCATCTAGGAATCCACAACATATATCCACAATATATATATATATATATATATATATATATATATATATATATATATATATATATATATTATAAAAGATCTATTGAGTTTCACTATAAATCTCAATTTTTGAACAACGTAATTTTCGTATGTTGCCTTTGGTTTCAGATCTTGTTTAGTAAAGAAGATATTCTCATACATCAGGGTTCATTACTTTTATATAATGAAAAATATTATTGATATAACAATGTTTTCGTTGTGGCATTATATGCTTATAGCGGACACAGACACGCATATACACACATATACACACATATGTATATATAGATGCATATGTACACACACACACACACACACACACACACACACACACACACATATATATATATATATATATGTATATATGTATATGTATATATATATACATATATATATATATATATAGAGAGAGAGAGAGAAGGAGAGAGAAATATTTTTGAGGAAATGTATGATAAAGTGGAAAAAAACTTTCCTGTGACGCGTTACGTCATTTAGGACTCCATCGGACTAAATATATGTTGCGACGAGACATCCACAGGAACGAGTGATGCTGGGAATTTTAAATTATATTTTTTTGTTATTTTTAACTTAATCCGAGGCAGGACTAAAAGACAAATCTAGTCCGACAAAAATATTCTTAATTAGTCATACATATTTTCAAGTGACAACATAAAAAAAAAAGATTTATCCTAAAAATATGTATGTGTATATGTATATTTGTATGTGCTTGGCACACATGTATATGTGGGTCTGTAGATGTATTGAATTATTCATTTGATGTCTACATCATACATTTTCATTGTTTGTACCAGTAATTTTTATGATTATTTTTATTATTTATCATTATTTATTATTATTATATTTTTTATTTATGATTCTTTTATTAAATTTAATTTTCATTTTTTACTGTTATTATCATAATTATTATTAACTAGCAGTAGAGCCCGGCGTTGCCCGGGGATGTTATAGTAAGAGATAGATCAAGTATCGACCATCATAAAGACTGAAAAATAAAATTGACAAAGATTATTGTTTAAGGTTGACGGACACGCATGTCTTAAATAGTTTTTTTTTTGTTTTTTTTTTACGAATTGGTCAAACCCAAATTCAAACAAAAACATTGTTTACAATCGTTATGAGTCTATCGATTGGTGAATAGAATTTTATTATAAACAATTGTCTTGTAAATGGAATTTTTAAAGCATTCTGAATGTATAAATAAAGAAAAAAAGTGTGCAAGACAATAAGAAATACTACCTCAAAAAAAAAAAAGTGGATGTTTGTTTATCGGCTGAAAAATGTAAGAAACTGATACCATATATAAAGGAACACACACACACACACACACACACACGCACACACACACACACACACACACACACACACACACACACACACACACACACACACAAACAACCTGGGTTTTTTAACCTAAGTCACTACACGGAATGGCTAAGACATAGAGCATAGTCTGATGAAAAAGACGCCAAAGTTTATGAAAACAAAATTTTATCGTCAAAATGCTTATGTTTTTATGAAGAGGATAGACTAATTTTTTTAAATTATTTTAAAAATTTTTCCATCTTTTTAGAATATTCTAAATTTTGATTTAAAAAACCTTGTTTCTCTTTGTCGCAACAAAGGGTAGTAAATAATATAGATTTTTAGCGCGTTTTTTTGCATTTACACACATTAATTTGGAAAATCTTGCAAAAATAAAATAATTGTCAGATGTTAATGAAACTTTCAGAAAGTATTCACAGATGATCAAAATTATTATAAATATGTTTTTTTTATTAAAGTCATGGCAGAAATATTTTTTTATATTTATTAACACCCCCATAACTAATTTTATGAAAAACTCTAGAAATTGAGACCATCGGTTTTAGTGATTACAATAGTTAAAAGCACAAGGCTTTGAAGAATGCAAATCATGTTTTTTTTGTTTTTTTTTTTTGTTTTTGGCCAACGTACCTGAAAATCAGCTGTGAATTGTAACATATTAAAAACTCAATAAAACAAATATATTATTTAGTTTCAAATGCTTTTATTTGTTTTAATTTGTTTTTATGAATATGGACAATATTTTCTGAAAGCAAAAAAATTTTTCAATGAAAATTGAATTTTTAATACAATTATTTCTTATTTCTTTAATTTTAAAAAGATTTTTAAAAAAATTTTAAATTGAAATTTTAAAAATATTTTAACATTAGTTAAATGCAACATCAACCTTTCAAAATGTCCGTGTGAGATTGTCATTGTCTAGCGCTTTGAAAATTGTATAATTTTGACCAATCAGATTAGCCATGGTAATTAAGAAATGTAATTTTTGTGTTTATAGTCGGACAGTAATTATCAAGTACGGAAGACCAACCATAATACAATTTAGTTGCATTATTTGAGTTCAGCATTGTTCTCCGCTGTTAAGCCCTTTACTTTTGCGAAACACGTATGGAGAAGTTAATTTGAGTTTTCAATTTCAACTGAGAAGGGTACCTACAAGTAACAGTATCATCTTATGAAATTTAACTACTGCTAAACTTTAATTTATATGATCTTATTTTTATATTAATCTCAGTTATGACATTTTTTCCATAAATGAAATATCAAAATTAATAATAAAATGAATGGAAATACAAATAACACAGTAAAATGTAATAAATGTACATAAAATTATAGTATTTTATGTACACTTTTGATAAAATTTCATAAGAAAGGTACCTAAATTAATTAGATACCTTTTTCTTATGAAATTTAATCTCACTATTAACAGTCTTATTTTTAATTTCTTTATATTTTCCATAAAGCATCGTAAACGTAAAAAATGAAAGCTACACAAAAAAAAAAAAATTAAAAATTAGAGCGCTGAAAGTTTTCCTTAAAAGTAACGAGGTAAATAATTTGTTCACTTAAATAATTTCACTTCCTTCCATCCGTAGAAAGAATTATCCTCCCGTAAGTTATCTAAACGTCATGAATGTGCCTTTCGTCAATCGTCAAGCGACGCGAAAGGTTATGACCTGCTTTGTTTTATTTTCAAATTCCGGCAGTTTTCATGTAGTTTGCGGCCATTTTGTACTGGCCAGAGTGAGAGCCTATAGCTGGCTGTCACGAATAGGCAGGGATATTCTATTGGCCAGCATGAGAACCAACAGCTGAATGACACGAATGTTGACTAGCATGGAAAAAAATCGATAGCTGCATCCGTCACAAGTGGGAAAAAATTTAAAACTGCATGGCACTTTACTCCAATTGGCTCATTCGCTTGCTTAAACTCAACGTTGATTCTGATTCCGCAGAACTGGTTTGGGTGTGAAAAAGGATTTGTTGTTAACATTCCTTTTTCATTCGGTTTTTCCAGTTACGAGTCCTTTTTTTTTAAAGCGGATCGTTTTGTGTTCATTTTGTTTAGTTTTAGACATGTAGAAACATCATCACGGCAACGGGCATTCCTTTAAAGGCAAGAAAGGGCAAAAATATTTTACGTCAAGTGATAGCGATTGCTGTATGAGTCGTACGATTTTTGAATCAAACACGGGCAACGCTGGGACATGCTGCTAGTATATATATATATATATATATATATATATATATATATATATATATATATATATATATATATATATATATATATATATTATATGTATGTGTGTGTGTGTCACACATATATAAGAATTAAATTACCTGATTTTGGTGAACTGATTTTATATATATATATATATATATATATATATATATATATAGAGAGAGAGAGGGAGAGAGAGAGGGAGAGAGAGATAGATATTTATGCGGTAAATATTTAAACCAGTTAAAAAATCAACGATTTCAATGATAGTAAATTTAATATATAGTTTGGGTCTGAAGTCGTACTGAAGGTTCAGACAGACGGTGACTGCAGTGTTGATTCTTATGTAGATTTTACATATAAACACTATCTTCGATATTGACCACACTTCTAGAAAAAATAACAAATTTCATATATCTATCTATCTATCTATATATATATATATATATATATATATATATATATATATATATAAGATATTGAGAACGAAGATAAAATATATTTGTGCGTAAAGAAATATTTCAAATGAAAGTGAGAACGTGAAATTGTGCGACGAATTTGAAAACTGAAAAAATATAATGAGGGCATAAACAAAAGAAAGGAAGAAGCGAAAAATAAGAAAGGAAGAAGAGACAAATAATAAGAGGATAAGAGAAAAACAAAAAATGTAGAAGTGAAAATCAAAAAGAGGAAGAAGAGAAAATCAAAAAGAGGAAGAAGAGAAAAACAAAAAGAGGAAGAAGAGAAAAACAAAAAGAGGAAAATCAGAAAAACAGAAAAGAACGAAGAGAAAAGAAAAGAAGAGGAAGAAGAATATAAATAAAAGAAGACGATGAAAGCAATACTAAAAAGTAAACAGGAGGAACACGAAGAATACATTTTTTAAAAAGAGCGCAAGAATTCTCTCAAAGGTTCTAAAATTATTGTCACAGCTAAATAAAGTTAGCAATTCCGACATTACAAACATTAACGTCAACTTTAATCAGAAAGTATTCTTAATGTCATTCTATTATTCCGCTTTGAATAGCGTGAACAAGGCTAATTTTCCGAAGTGCCCCCTATCAAAAGAAAAACATATCACATTGTTGATTTCTTTTCATGGCTTGTTTTTTTTCTCGTTTATTTTATAATTGCAATATTGGATAATTGGTTTATATATATGTATTGTTTACACACTAACATGTCTCTCCCTCCGATAGTCATCCTCTTTCCACCCCGAAAAACAATCCAAACATATTATCCGTTCAGAAGTTTATGTCTCCTGTTTGGTTGAGATTTTTTTTTCTTTATATTTTTCTCTTTGTTTAAACTTTAAAAAAAGAAGGAAAAAAAACATATTTGTTCAGATTTAGACAAGTATAATTGTGTGCCTTTGTTTGAGCAGTCCAGTGTGAACCTTAAATGTTGTATCTCGATCTTGTTAAGTTTTTGTGCTGCCTGTCGACCGTGACGATTGGCTCGGTTATCTCCCCATTATTCCCCTTCTTTTTCTCTGCCACTACCCGACATGCCTGCACCAGCCATATTTGTTCCATGGATCCTTGCTTTCTTCTCAGCTCCTAATATTTCGGTGATTAGCTCTATAGTTCTCACTTTTATCTTTCGCTAACCAATATCCGAAATATTCCTTCCTTTTACTTTTATTCTTGAATATAACACAAATTTGTGTACGCTTTATTTAATTCTATTTTAACTTTATTAATTCGGTTGCTTGTACGATGTGGGCTGATTAATGGGACTGGCTTTACAAAAAGGCTATCTGTAACAAAGCAGATTATGTATAAATGTTTGATTATTTTTTTATCGCGGTATGCACATCTTAGGGTCAAACTCTTTTTGTTCATCGACTTGACCATTATTTGACGAACCTTTTTACTCTTCTTTACATCTGTCTCTTCATCTCTCTTGGTCTCAGTTTCTGTGGGTGCTTTTTTTTTTTTTTTTGATCGCACTGACACACACAAACACAAGACCATACACTCACAACATCTTACAAGATTTTGGACAAAGTATTTTATAATGTGGTTGACAAAATACACTAACATAATAACTTCGCTGATAAATGCTCCTTAGTCGGTTCGAGAAAATAAAACACCCAATAAGCATACATACATAGGCACAAACGCCTTTGATAAATTCAGCCGATAAGGCCTATTTAATCTTTATTATATTTTCCACTTTTCGAAGAAGCTGTACATCGGGATCGAAGTCATGAATAAATTATGTAAATTTCATGTTTTACTCAGTTTTGTTCAAGCAGTTTTGAATACCTTAGCCGATTATCAATTGTCATATAAAGAACGAAAAGGAAAATTTATGAAAGTACATTTGCTTCGGAAATTGAAAAAAGTTACATTAAAATAAACAGACAAACATTGTCGGTTGAGTATAACAATGATCTTTTCATCAATTCAGACACAGAAATAGTATATATATATATATATATATATATATATATATATATATATAGAGAGAGAGAGAGAGAGAGAGATAAATTAATTAGAACATATAGAAAATTATTTTTGCTCTTTGTGTTTCTAGAGTCACTTATTTGACGCAACGTTTATATAGGTTATAATATTAGTAATCAGTATTGGTATTTCCAAAAGGATACAGATCCAAGGAGAGCTTTATGTTAGAAACAGATCAACAATTATTATTATTAAAACAATGAAACACTTAAAATGCCCGAGGTGATATTTATTTCGTTAAGGTAGGAAAATTGACGCCAACTCTTCAGACCTCGTAATAAAAATAAAAATAGAAAATATTTCTCCAAGACTAAAAAACAAAATTTATAAATTTTATAAATTTTATGAAATTGTTCTTTCATTGTTTTCAAGAGAATTATTTACATTAGCTTTGGAATTTGCCACCGTGTATTCTGATCTATCAAAGGATGAATGGATTATTATTATGAGCGCAAAATTTTGGATTATACAGAGATGATGGCCTTATGGTTGAGAGGAATTCTATTAATTTCAAAAGAGGCGATATTAGAAAATTAATATATAGAGAGTTTGAAACCTAAACCTAAAAGTTACAATCGATACAAACTTAAAAAAGTAAACTTCCTCGATGTAACACTATTAGTCAACAATATATACAAACCATACATGAAAATTAATACTAATCCACTGTATATCCACCCAAAGTCTATTGACCCTCCGTCTATAACCAAACATATAACCTCCTCCATAGAATATAAAATCAGTAATAACTCTGCCAACGATGATGTATTTTATAAACACAGCAATGGTTACAACAATATCATAAAAAATAATGACTATTAAATACAGAAATTATATCAGTGATCCAGGAAAAAAGAAATAGAAACATCATTTGGTACACACATTCATTTAACCAAATGGTTAGCACTAAGTTAGCGTAGAATTGTCTCACTTAGATTTCCCAAGGAATAATCCTCTAAGCAAGATTATTAATAAAGAATATGCTAAAATAAAGTTACAGCTGTATCTAGAAAAAAATATTAAAAACATAATAATAAAATTTCAAATCAACACTTAAATCAAAGTAACAATAGTAATTCCAAAACAGAAATCAATAATGATAATAAATTTTGTAATTGCAGAAATTCTAAAAATTTTCCATTGCAAAATAGGTGTCTTACTGAATCTATTGTTTACCAATGCACTATTTCATCTACTAAAAACCCGAATGTTAAGGAATGTTATATTGGTAGTACAAAAATTCATTTAAATAGATGTGCTATCAGCATATATCTTCTTTTAACAACAATGCGTACCGTAACCAAACAACTCTAAATATAAATTCAAAAGAATTTAATAAACCCCTACCGTAAAATGGAAAATATTATAATAAGAGAATTTGTTAAACTTTAAATGACCCGTGTTCCATATGTTTACATGAAAAGCAAAGTTTCCTAATAATAAAGTTCTCCGAAATCAGAGAAATGAATTAACAGTAATTTGTAGACATTGTATAATGTTTATTTGAAAATATGGTTCATAGAATTTTTCATAAAAAATCTATGCGTTGCAATTACATATCCATTATTTTATTAATATATAATGGTCCACATAATATTTATTTAATTCTTAGATTTTTTTTAACTTGGTATGTCTGCGGTGGGCGTGCCTAAAGTGTCAGTTCATCGAGAAATAGAAAGGCATTCTACACCTTCTGACCGTATTTTCCATTTTTCTATTTTAGCTTTGATCTGTCTTTTGATTGCTTAATCAAGGCTTCCTCACAAATGTATCTTTTTAATTTTGGATGTTAGGGTTTCCCCACTTTTCCCTCTCCTTTTTAACCCTCAAATAAACTAACGGGTTGTTTTCTGATTTCCCAAGTAAATCATTTTCATCGTAAGATATTTACCATCGCCTGATGAGGGACGATTTTTAAAGTTTCGAAACATGGGCAATTTTGTGTAGTGATGTAAATACATACGCACACACGCAGATATATATATATATATATATATATATATATATATATATATATATATATATATATATAGAGAGAGAGAGAGAGAGAGAGAGAGAATTTGTAAAGTCTCTTAATCTGTTGGGGGATATTTTATTTTAATTGTCCCTCGCTAATTTATTTACACGATTATTTCCCCTCCCCTCGTTACAAGTATATACACTTGTTTGTTATTTTAGTGTGTTTCCACCCTCCTTTTGCTCTTCATTGTCGTTAATATTCTTTTCGCTGATCCAACGATTGTCTCCTGATGAGATGTTGGCTGAAAGGGCCCTAGAGACTTTTAAAATTAAAATCAATACATTCCTTGTTTTTAAAACTATATATAAATTTTGTACCTCCAAACATTTGTTTACATATATATATATATATATATATATATTGGGGGAACAAATATATTTTTAATTTCTTGTATTTCCAACTAATGAATAAACACACTTTTCCTATAATTAACTGTACACCGATGCATAATAACTAAATATGCACAGTAAACAGAAAAAAAGTTTTTGGATATAATAGAAATAAAACCCATGTATCCATTTTAATGGGTGAAAAAAGTATTCGTACAATACAAAAAGAATACATCATCTTCATTTAATACTTTGTAGATTAGCCATTATTCACTTCTGAAGCAATCAACCTTTCTCAATTAATGATTTGCAAAATTTAGTTGGTATTTTCACCCATTCTTCTTCGTATCTGGTTTTCAGAGCAGGGCTGACTGTTGAAGCTCTAGATTGCTTTGGAATTTTCAAATAACGCCACAGATTCTCGATTGGGTTTAAATCTGGGGGCTGACTTGTACATTTCAGGATATTTCCGTTATTTCCAGCAAGCCATTTCTTTGTAGATTTTGAAGGGTGCTTAGGATCATTATCTTGTTGGAAGATCCAATCAGGAGGAAGTTCAAGTTTTTCAACCAAAATCATTAAATTTGCTCATAAAATATTTTTATATGATGTGGCTTTCAATCTACCATCTATTACTGATATATTGCCAATACATTTTGCAGAAAAATATCACCAAACCATGATGCTGCCACCACTAAATTTTACTGTTGGAACTGTTTTCATTTGTTTGAAAGCATCGCCATCTTTCCTCCGTACATGATTTCTAGAATTACGTCCAAACAACACAATTTTGGTTTCGTCTGTCCATAATACACTTTCCCAATTCAATTCTTCCTTATCCTTATGTTCACGAACGAATTTCAACCTGCCATGTTTGTGTCTTTTCAATATCAATGGAATTTTCCGGGGAAGGGGCGTGAATTTAGATTGTTCCTATAAAATTCATTGCTTATTGTCCGTTCAGTTTTTTGATGAAAGTAGATCATCCTGCAAAACATGACGAGTAACCACTGGATCTTGTTTA